AGAGGAGATGGGGACATCAGTCACTCCCTAGCCTGCCTCCTTGTTCCATCTCTGGTGGTCCAGCAGAAACAATCTAGGATCTCAGGAGGAGAAAGCAAAACCACGTTTTTTTCAACTTCCAGTATTACTTATTTTTCCTAGGATCTGGATACAATTAACCTTATCTTAAGGGGAGGAATTGTCTGTCTACACAGTGAAAAGTTCTGGGAGCGGGTTTGTCAGTGCGACACCTCACAGGTTAGGACAGAAAGAGTAACTCTGTTTATGGGTAAGCAACTTTATAAAGCCCAAATTCCATAGTATTAAAGCCCACATGTTATAAAATTGTGTGTAGTCACATCAAGATTGAGTAAATTTGGTATATCATATTTTCATTTTCCAGTTATTCCTTTTGGCAACCCAGGAACTCAGGGGCTTTCCCAGCACAACATCGCCACCTGCCGGCACAGAGCCTCCCAGTACACCCATTTTGGAGAAAGGCAGCTGTTCAGCTGCTCCGAGGCTCTTGTTGAAGCTGAATGTGTGGCCATGAGGCCTTGTGTGTGTGATCTGGTGTGATGGCTCCAGTTTAGGGTGGGTGAACTGCAGCTGGAAAATTACCATGGGCTCAGCAGGCCTTGCAAGTAAAAAAAATGGTATGTTTGGGAGTGCAGCTAACCTAACCATAGCAGTATCTTAATTGTACATGAAAAATTAGTGGCTACCGCTTGGGGTATATTTTGTGTCAATTTCACTGTCTGAAACAAAGCCACTGGTTTAGAGGGGGGTCTCATTCACAGGTGCCTCAGCTTGGTTCAACACCGGGCAGCAATTTCTACCAAATCCCAGCAATCTCTTCTTGCAGCTATGGAGAAGAAAAGTCTAAAATGTATATAGAAAGGCAAAGCAACTAAAATGGCTAAAACTGTTTTAAAGAATAAAAATGAAGTGGAAGCAATCATTCCACCCAATTTCAAGACTACAGTAATCAAGACTGTGATACTGGTGGAGGAATAGACACATAGACGGATAGAGCAGAATAGAGACCAAAAACAGCCCACACAGATGTCAGCTGATTCTGACAAGGGTGCAAAAGCAATGCAAGGGCCCTGGCCGGTTTGGCTTGGTGGTTAGAGCATCAGCCTGCGGACCAGAGAGTCCCAGGTTCGGTTCCCACTAAGGGCATGTACCTTGATTGCTGTTTGTCCCCAGCCCCAGTTGTGGTCGTGTGGGTGGCAGCCACTCTCTCTCACATTGATGTTTCCCTCTTTCTTCTTCCCTCTCTCCCACTCGCTCTGTCTGAAGATGAATGCAAAAGTATCCTCGGGTAAGGATAAAAAAAAAGCAATGTGAGGGAAGAAGGACAGTCTTTTCAGCATAGGGTGCTGGAACAATTGGTTATAAGATGCAAGAATATGAACCTCTCCCTAAACCTCACACTATGTAAAACTTAAAATGGATTATAGGTTTAAATGTAAAATATAAAACTTTCAGAAAAAAAAATAGAAAATCTTTATTATCTAGGTTAAGCAGAAAATTCTTATTAAAAGTATAAGCCATGGCCCTGGCCGGTTTGGCTCAGCGGTTGGAGCGTCAGCCTGCGGTACAGAGAGACCCGGGTTCGGTTCCCGCTAAAGGCACGTACCTCGGTTGCAGTTTGTCCCCGGCCCTGGTTGGTTGTGCGGGTGGCAGCCACTCGATGTGTCCCTTCACGTTGATGTTTCTCTCTCTCTCTCTTCCTCTCTCTCCCTCCTGCTCTATCTGAACAAAAAATGGAAAAATATCCTCGGATGAGGATTAAAAAAAAAAAAAAGTATAAGCCATGAAAGAAAACATTGATAGATTGTACTTAAAATTTTAAAACTGTACAAAAGACCTTATGAAGAAGATGAAACAACAAGCAACAGACTCAGAAAATTTTTTCCAACTATATATGTAGAATATGTAAAGAACTCTCAAAACTCAACAGTAAAAAGATAGTCCAACATGAAATGGACAAGACATGGGACATTTCACAAAAGAAGATCATGGCTAAGAAATAAGCACATGAAAGATGTTTAACATCGCTATCATCAGGAAATTCAAGTTTAAATCACACACCTACCAGAATGGCTAAAGTAAATAGTATCAACACCAAGTTTTGTCAATGATGCAGGGAAACTGGACCGCCTTGGAAAATAGTTGCTGGTATCTTTAAAAGCTAAGCATGTACTTACCATGACCCAGCATTTGCACTCCTGGACATTTATTACAGAGAAGTGAAAACTTATGTCCACATAAAAAACTGTATACATTATTTATAGCAGCTATGTTTGTAATGGCCAAAAACTGGAATTCACCAAAATATCCTGTAGTAGATGAATGGTTAACTGTGGTATATCCATGCAAATTAATCCTACTCAGCAACGAAGGGAATGAAATATTGCAACTTGCAACAACTTGGATGGATCTCAAGGGCATTGTGCTGAGTGGGAAAAGCCAACTTAAAATGTCACAGACAGTGTAACTCCACTTATGTAACATTTTTGAAATGACAAAATAACCGAGATGGAAACCAACTAGTGGTCACCAGGGGTTAGGGATGCTGGGGGGAGGGGTGCAGAGAGGTATACATGTGACCATAAAGGGACGTCTGTGGTGGTGGGACAGTCAGTATCTTGGTTACATGAATCTACGCATGTGATCAAATAACAGGTATACACACATGTGGTACCAATCAGAGCTTTCTGGTTTGGATATTGTACATTCTGTAAGAGGTAACCACTGAGGGGGTGGGGCAGGTAAAGAGTACACAGGGCCTGTTACCTTTGCAACTTCCTGTGAATCTATATTTCAAAATAAGTTTTTTGTTTTTGTTTTTTATCCTCACCCGAGGACATTTTTCCATTTCTTTGTTCAGATAGAGTGGAAGGGAAAGAGAGGAAGAGAGAGAGAAACATCGACGTGAAGGGACACATCGAGTGGCTGCCACCCGCATGACCAACCAGGGCCTGGGACAAACTGCAACCAAGGTACATGCCCTTAGCGGGAACCGAACACGGGTCTCTTGGGACCGCAGTCCGACGCTCTAACCTCTGAGCCAAACCAGCCAGGGCAAAATAAGTTTTTTTAAAAGGATAAGCCAGTCCGGCCGGTGTGGCTCAGTGGTTAAGCGTTAACCCATGCACCAAGAGGTCACCGGTTTGATTCTCGGCCAGGACACATGCCCAGGTTGTGGGCCCGATCCCCAGTGAGGCGTGCAAGAGGCGGCCAATCATGTTCTCTCTCATCGATGTTTCTATCTCTCCCTCTCACTTCCTCTCTCTCTCTCTCTCTAAAAAAAATCAATAAATGAAAAGAAAAAAAAAAGGATAAGCCACACTCGGCAGGCGGACGAGGGCTTGCTGGCCCTGCTCTAGAGCCGCAAGCAGGTCGCTCTGTCTCGGTGCACTGAGCTGGCAGTACCGCCAGGCTGGGGGCCACTGAAGAGATCTTCGAGGACTTTGGTTAAACAAGTGATACTGAAACTGCCAACGTTCGTTTCTGACAGTAACGTCAAGGACATGCCATGACACTTTGGCCACTGACATTCTCTGAGCCTGGAGGGCAGTGTGGCGATGCTGGTTTTGAAAAGATCATGCGTGGTTTCACTGAGGACACGTGTGTGTGGGCAGCTGTGCTTATCAAACTATGCCTCAAGCTAGATGAGGGCATGCCTATTTGAGATAATATAAAGAACAAAAGCTAAAAGTAAATTATAGGCCCCAAATTTGAGAGCATCGTAGAAGATATAACCCGAATCCTTCTCTGCTTTCTCCTCGCTCTTCCCCTGTAAGATTCCAAATAGGTTTGGGACCACTCCTGACAGAGGTTCAGCTTGTGGACTCTCTTCTCAAAAGATGAATTTCTAACATTGAGAACAAATTACTCATCTGATTGACCTTAAGAATTGTGTCTTGCTCAGACTCTTTACTAAATGCAGAAATCCAAAGATTGTCCTAGAAGCATTAGACTTTCTTTTCATCGCGTCATGGCCACTCTGTAACGGTCTCACAGCCGGTAGCACACAGGTGCACACGCAGGCTGTGAATGGCTGGGAACGTTGCTGAGACCACGGACGTGCCTGGCGTGGTGCTGGGAGAGCACCGAGTGCAGAGAGGAACTGGCCAGCATGTCCCTGCCATGCAGGAAGGTTTTCTTGATGCCAAGAGAATGTGCAAAACCGCAGGCTTTCCAGCTGACTTTGCTTTCCTGTATGGAATTAATCCACCATGACTTTGGTTCCAAAGCCTTTGACAAGTGCACACAGTAATGTTGGTTAAGATACCCAGACCCCGCCCTGGCTGGTTTGGCTCAGCGGTTAGAGCGTTGGCCCGCAGACCAGAGTCCTGGGTCCGGTTCCCACTAAAGGCATGTACCTCGGTTGCAGTTTGTCCCCAGCCCCGGTTGGTGTTGTGTGGGTGGCAACCAGTCGATGTGTCTCTCTCACATTGATGTTTCTCTCTCTCCTCCCCCCGCACCCCCTCTGTCTGAAAATCAATGAAAAATGTCCTCAGGTGAGGATTAAAATAAAAGTATAGGTGGGATGGTGACATAGCAGGTATGCTGTGTCTTTGAGCCTTTCATGGACACTGACTTTGTTAATCTTCTTCCCTACCAGAAAGACACTATTGTTCTCTCCAATCTGACTCTCAAATCCAGGAGAAAGGCTGAATACTCTGGCTTATCTTACTCTTAAAGTCAGACTGTGCCAAAATATCCCCACAGAACGTCCAAACCAAGGGAAGAGAATGGAGTGACGAACGGTTTCTGTAATCAGTTTTATTCATGTAGAGAGATGTTGTTTACAGCTTTCACTAGTGCCTGGAAAACGTCAAGAAAGTGACAGGCATCTTACAAACGTTTGTAAGTGTGGCGTTTTGATATTCATCCTTTGGGAAAAGGAAAATCAGAAATATCCCGCAGAAAGTTTTGCAACCTGACAATGGAACTTAAAATGTAACAGCTAAATGGCTACGGCTACCATCTAATGAATGCTTGCTTCCATTTAAAAGTAAAGTACTTTAAAAGACTTCCTTTCATAAAAGGGCTTAGGAAGTGGCCACCGCTGCGTGGCTGGGCGACACTTCGCAGCCGACCCCACTTCCCTCTCACCAGTGGAGCCCGCCTCGGCCACGGGACTACCGCACCAGTCCAATCAGTTGCAAAATGAAAAGGAAAAGGTTGATTATGTCCAAGTAGATGTTCAGAGCCGCAAACACGTACTCTTCGGGGTCCAGGCTGGAGTGGTGGTGGCGCCCTCCTACCATCAGCTGCACGTTCATTACCAAGTACTGAGAGCAAAGGAAGAGAAAATGTGCTGGTTAAATTGTTCGTGTCTATCAAATAACTGTCCTAAACCATCTGGGAAAACGGTTCTAGCATCAATACATATATTGCAGAAGCGGGTGGGGCCAGATCTGGGGGCCTTCCTTTGCTTTCCGAGTCCAGAGCCTGTGCCTTCAATCAACGCTGTGGACCAGCTGGGCCCGCTGGACACGGCGTAAACTACAAAGTGCCCTGCATTTGCCATTTCCCCACACCTTCTTGCTGAACGAAGAATGAAAGTAAAATGTTTCCCCAACATTGAGACTGACAACAGCAAGAATTCTGAATTCCTGGAGCTTTATGATGATGTCAGTATTTCCAAAATAGAACGAGGGAAGATCAACGTGAGTGATCAGCGTGGCAGAGAAGGGAGGCAAACTCAAGGCTGGGCACCCGGACCGCTGCGTCCTGTCTCCCCATTTCCCTCCCCTCTCCCCGTGTGAGTCCAGCAACGTGGGGTGAAGGGTCCTACTTTGACCACTGACCCAGCAGTCACATTCCTTGGTATTGACCCAAAGGAGTTGAAAACTCCTGTTCACAAAAACCTGCACATGGATGTTTAGAGCAGCTTCAGGCACAATTACCCGAACTTGGGAGCAACCAAGATGTCCTTCAGTAGGTGGATGGATACAGACTGCGATACGCAGGGACCGAAATGAGCTCTGGAGCCATGAAAAGACACAGAGGAAACCTTAAGTGCACCTTACTAAGTGAAAGAAGCCAGTCGGAAGGCTACCTGCTGTATGATTGCAACTGCATGACGTTCTGGAAAAGGCAACACTTGGAAACAGTGAAAAGGTCAGTGGCTGCCGGGGGTTAGGGCTAGGGAGGAATGAATAGGCAGGCACAGGATATTTAGAGCAGTGAAAATATTCTGTATACCATAACGATGGAACATGTTGTTTATTATAATTTATCCAAATCAACAGACTGTGCACTGACAGTGAACCCTAGTGCACACTATGGACTTTGGGGGATATTAACATGTGCATGTAGGCTCATCAGTGTAACAGAGGTACCGCTCTGGGAGTGTTGGTAATAGGAAGGCTGGGCATGTGTGGCGCAGGGGTATATGGGAAATCTCTGTATCTTCCTCTTGATTTTGCTGTGAACTTGAAAGTGCTCTAAAATCACCCTGGTAAAAGGAGAAGGAGAAAGAGGAGGAGGAGGAGAGACAAGTCTCCAGGAGTGCTTTCCAGCGAGTTTTGCCTGCTTGACTCCGCACTTGGCACAAGGGGGGGGCGCACACTTTCGGGGCAGGTACCATACTTTTTGTCCCGGGGGGCGGGGGGGGGGAGACTCACAAGTGAGAAGATCATAGTTCCAAGCCCAGCATACAACAGATGCAACCACTGCAAAAAGAAAGGAAACGAGGGAATGTTAAGATCTGAAATAACAGAAAGCCTCCCTTAGGTCCCTGCTGTTCAGTGGGGGCCCTAAGAGAGTCAGATCTGTGAGGGAGTTTGTCTCATTTGAATGTAACGGGTCAAGCGCATCCCCTCCATTCCACTGGGCAAGCGACGGGAACTAGCCTTGCACGCGCCCAGTGCGGTTCTTCGAGTGAGTGCTCACGCATGCATGTCATGCCTGGCCGAGGGGCAGAACGCACTGGGCACGCTCGCTGTCTGCCCCACCCACAGAGCCCTTCCAGGGAAGCGGCACCGCCCTCGGCTCCCCTCGGAGCAGGTTCCCGGGAACAGGGCCCTCGCACACCATTCCTAGAGCTGACTGAGGAGAGATGGAAAGTGTTCACTCCAACAGTAGCCAATCTCTTCACTGACCAGTAGCCTCTTATGTGTGATCAGGATCACATGGATGCTCCAGGCCAGTCAGAAATCAATGTTCAGGGCAGAGGGGTCCGAGCAGCAGAGGCTGTTGTGTGACTAGCTGGTACTGGAGCTATTATCAGCCCAGAGAGGAAGGGGCGGTTTCCATCCCTGGGAACCCTGGGTCTTCTGAAGTTCCATGAGATGCCCTTGGGTCTCTGCCTCGAGCTGGTCTGAGCAGTGTCTCTCTGTTCCTTGCAACCAAAACAGCCCTAATCATAATATGACACTGGTCTCTTGGCTCTGTGTGCAGGGGACAAGGAAGTGGGATATATCATCTGAGGAAAACAGGGGCATTCGCTCTTCAGGACAGGAACGCTGGTCCCAGAGGGATGGGCAGAGCAGTCTGCTAACAAGGGAAGGGGCTTGGTGAAGGACACAGTGTTTCCAGACTGAGCTAATGAATGGTAAGGAAACACCTGGTTCCCGGAACCTGAAGAATTCAAAATGGCCAAACAAGCATATGTACGTAGGACAAGGTTCTGTCAAAGTCTTCCATTTATACATATGTGTACGATTAAATGTGGTAGGTATTTGTAAAAGGAAATGGGAAATGTATATACATATATGTGTTTTTAGAGGAAGGAAGAGGGAGAGAGGGAGAGAGAGAGAGAGAGAGAGAGAGAGAGAGAGAGAGAGAGAAATAGCAATCCGTTGCCTCCATCACACACACCGACCAGGGACCAAATCCGAAACCTGAGTAGGTGCCCTGACCAGGAATTGAACCTGACACCTTTTGGTGTATGAGACAGAAATCAGCCAACTGAGCCACACCAGCCAGGACAGGAAATTTATATTTTAATTTTTTATTGTATTGATTTGAGACAGAGAGAGAGAAAGAGAGAGAGAGAGAGACATTGACTTTTTGTTCCATGCATTTATGCATTCACTGGTTGATTCTTACATGTGTCACGACTGGGGATTGAACCCACAACCATGGCGTATTGGGACAATGTTCTAACCAAGTGAGCTACCCGGCCAGGGCGTGGAAGGAAATCTAGAATGGGAAGTAAGAGTCATCTACAAACACAGTTTATTAACTGCACCTATTATAAAGACCTACGGAACCCACCTAACAAATATTTGTATTATTACTGCCAATGTCTGTGCTACAGTCAACAATAATACATGGAGCACTCTGGCCTTTTAAGATATATCTCTGTGATATCTGTATCTCTACAATACAGATGCTACCTTCAAAGCTATAAGCCTAACAGTCATTCATAAAGCTAAACCAGTTCAGGCAGAACTGTTAGTTCTGTGTCTGAGATCATCGATTAAGTCCACAGAAGCTCTTTGATTCAGCACTTGGACCACATTGGCCTTGGGGTGTTAGTCCAGGGGTCACGGGCTCAGGCCAATCCTCAACGGACCTGGCCCCCAGCGGAGTCTCCACTCTGGGGCCACTGGCAGCTGGACCATGGTCCAGATCCGGTGCCTCTAGTCCCCGCCCCTCCAGCCTCAGTCCACGGACATGGCAACCTGGTAGGATGAGCACGGGCATCGGAGTCACAGCTCTGGCTTTGGTCCCACCTACTCCCGGTGTGAACTAGGATGAACTGTTTCATTTCTTTGAACCTGTTTTCTTATCTATAAAATAGGCGAGACATATTCTTTTCAGGAATGTTGTGAGAATTAAATGTGATGCCTAAAAGAAAAACACATGGGCCTATGTCTGATGTCTAGTAAGAAGTCAATGAATAGCCTGGCTGGTGTGGCTCAGTGGTTGAGCGTCAACCCATGCACCAAGAGGTCACCGGTTCGATTCCCAGTCAAGGCACATGCCCAGGTTGCGGGCCCCATCTCCAGTGAGGGGCGTGCAGGAGGCAGTCGATCGATGTTTTTTTTTCTCTCTCTCTCTCCCTTCCTCTCTCTCAAAAATCAATAGAGAAAAAAATAAAAATGAAAAAGTCAATGAATAGATTAAAGCAAAAGGGGCGGGGGGGGGCAGGGCTGGAACTGGAAATAAGGAGCCTCCTCTAGGCTGCTACTAGAAAATCCCCAAATAACCCATCTCTCACTCCCATAACTCAAACAAGCAGTACCCAAGGAATCTGATGTTCCCTGGGTGGGGGGGGAGGGGGGTTCGCCCCAGCTCCTCCGAGGGAAGGACAGCTCTAGAGGAGGAGTTCCACCTTCCAGCCCCAGACCCCTGTCCGTGGTACCCCAGCTACACCCCGCCATACTGGGCAGCCCCAGGACAGGCCTCAGAGACTTGCAGCCACTGGGAAGGGAGTGTCACTGACCCAGGGCCCCCCACACTTTGCTCCCGGGCCACACCTCCACTTCTGTCATTGGTGGGAACAGCAGGGCCCTTCCTGGGAGACACGGGACCACTGTGCTGCGATGGTCGACTTCAGCTCCAGGACTTCCTGGTGGCCTTGCTGAACTGTCCGTAGTCCAGAATGCTGCCCCGACCCCCCTCCCTGTCCTTCCCTTGGGGTCACATTGGCCCTCGTGGCCTGACCACTCTGCCAGCCTGCGTCAGCTCCCCACCCCGTTTCTCTGGCAGGAATTTCTCCCGTGAAAGTCCTCCCCTTCCCGTCTCCATGTCTCCTTCTCAGGGGACATTCTACCACCAGCAGCACGCCACCCAAGTTCTAGCAATTCTCGGAGATTTCAGGATGAGATCCCACTTACGTATGACCGTATGAAGAGTAAGAGAGTTCCATAGATCAGGAGCACGATGACGGAGACGAACAGCACTCCATTCAGGAGGGTGAAGTCCCACTGAGGAAACAGCACAGGACACAATGCAGTCACCGTCTGCGCGGATTCCGGGGGGTCAGAGCTCCGCCTCAACCCCGCAGACGGGAGCTGGCCCGTCTGCCAAGAGCTCACCGGCCAGGACCATGGAAGTCCATTAGCCCCAACTGCTGAAAATGCGACAGAAAAAGTGTCGTATTGCCTGGGACTTGCTGCTGAAGGGAGAAGGTAGGACTGTGGTTGAAATAATAGGTGATAATGGTTGAAACTGGGTAATGGGTACATGGGGGTTCACTTTACTACTCTATTTTATATTTATATATAATTTTCCCTAATAAAAAGTTACATTGAATGAGTAGGATGTACATTTGTATGTATAGTATGATCATAATTACAATCATAATTATTCATATTTTAAAGTGCGTTCATAGAATACATTAATGCGATAAAATAGACCAACAGGTTAACTGGGTACCTTTTTCACATTTGTAGGCATATCTTTATTTATTTTTTTAAAATATTTTTTTCTTTATTGATTTTAGAGAGAGAGAAAGGGAGAGGGAGAGAGACAGAAACATTGATGAGCAAACATTGACTGGCATATCTTTAAATTATATATATATATAGTATAAGCTTTCAAAAATTATTGTTAATGATTCTTTTGTAACTTTGAAATTTATGAATATACTTTTTGGGTTTGCCTTTATAAATCAGTGACCCAATCAGCCTGGGGTGGGGGAGGATTAAGGTGTTTTTTTTTTTAAGAAAGGGGAATATTCTTCATCTGGCCTAAAAATATAGGATTGTGCAGCCCAAGAAGATCTTTGAATCCAAGACATTTTCTTGCAAGAGTTTTTTTTCCTAGTTCCTCTATTTCTGTCCTCACTCCCTACCCTTCACACACCAAGGGAATCTAATCTGAAGTCCTCCATCACCCACAGCACCAGCACCACCTGGATGCAGCTAGTTGGCCCCACCCCCACCTCCAGGTCCAGGGGCGGAGCCAGCAGTCTATGGTTTAACAAGTGTTCCAGGGGCTTCTGATGCTGCTGAGAGCTTGTCCTCGGGTGTGCTTCCAGTCCTGGCTCTGAGCACTGGGGCGGGGCAAGTCCAAGCTGAGACATGCGTTCGGTACACCCTGGGTTTGAATCGTAATTCGAAGAGAGAATATAAACTAGCTCATTAATATTTTTGTCCTGTTGAGTACTTGTTGAAATGATAATGCTTTGCATACATTGGATTAAGTGAAATCTATTATCAAAATTAACTTCACCTGTTTTTTTTTTACTTGTTCACGGTGTGTGCTGGGAAAGCCAGGAGAGGAGGCCCTGAGGTGAGTCCCACAGGACAGCAGAGAGGAGGGAGGAGAAAGGGGCAGAGGAACAAGTCCACACACTCCCTCGTGATACATACTTTTGTTTGAAGAGCAAACAAAGTGAGCGATAATGTCACCATAGCGGTCGCTGCTGTGGCCCATAACACCTCCTCAGCGTTATAGAAACTAAAACCAGAGACTGTGATTATTGTCACATACCACTGAGGAAAAGCCCACACAAAAGCGAAAATGTGTATCACAGACTTACACTGATATGGCTCCTAGCAGCAGACCTTGAAGAACTGTCTAAAAACAAAAATCACAATCAATCAGAAGCCTGGTCCTGCAGCCCAGCGCCCCAAGACGGCCCGGGGTGCTTGTGCTTCGGCAGGGTCTAGGAAGCAGGGGAACGCACACAACCCTAGCACACAAGCTATAGGGCAAATGCTTATAAAAAGTGAACAGTACAACTAAACACGTCCCTAACGTTCTCCCTAAGGCTAACAAAAGAAAATGCCTTTATTATAAAAAAACTTTTAGTCCACAATAGCAAGTTTCAAGGTATTTAGTGAATTACATATGTAATGATTGGAGATGTGGAAACCCACTGAGAGGGTTTATCTGTAGAACATATGATCATTAATCAAACGGGGCCATCCACACAGAATCGTAACATTTTATTGGAGCAGGATATGCTGTTTCTGCTATGGCTTCACCAACAGTTTCACCATCGACCTTTCCCATGGGGCTACGGTGAAAATAAAATACTTCTTCAAACCTCAGTGGTGGGATGAGGAATGAGACCTGCTCAGTAAGAGGAAGCAGATGGGCCCTGGCTGGTTTGGCTCAGCAGTTAGAGCATCGGCCTGCGGACCAACGAGTCGTGGGTTCAATTCCGGTCAAGGGCATGTACCTCGGTTACGATTTGTCCCCGGCCCTGGTTGGGGTTGTGTGGGAGGCAGCCACTTGATGTGTCCCTTTCACATCGATATTTCTCTCTCTTCCTCTCTCTCCTTCTCACTGTATCTGAACAAAAATGGAGAAATGTCCTCAGGTGGGGGGTGCAGATGGCACTTATTTACAGAGCATGAGCTGCCCCTGCAGGCGCCGTCCAGGGCTCAGACAGTAGCTGCTGCAGTGGGGCTGCATCAGGCTGCAGGGTTCCCATGAGCCAGGTGGGGCCAGGGACCAGGCAGCGAGGAGAGTGGCCAGTGCTGAGCGCCAGCAGGCAGCCACCCAGGAGGATGTGCCCAGGCCTGCAGTCGGCTCCAGGATCTCGCAGTGAGCAGGGAGAGGCTGCAGGGCCTGGGGACATTCCCTAGAGGGGAGGACGCTTCGTCAGAGGTGAATCCAGAGACTCTGCTGACCCACAAGAACCAGAAAAGAATCTTCCAGTGTCAGGGAATAAAAATGAGGAAGCACTCCAACTGGGGATCTAACCTGCAACCAGGTATCTGCCCTTACTGGGAATCAAACCCACAACCTTTTGGTGTACAGGACGATGTTCAACCAACTGAGTCACCTGGTCAGAGCATACATGATATTTTAATAATGTGCTTGCTCCTGCTCAGCTGGTGTAGCTCAGTGGTTGAGCGTGGACCCATGCACCAAGAGGTCACCGGTTCAATTCCCGGTCAGGGCACATGCCCAGGTTTCGGGCCTGATCCCCAGTGGGCGCCATGCAGGAGGCGGCCAGTAGATGTTCTCGCTCATTGATGTTTCTGTCTCTCTCTCCCCCTTCCTTCCTCTCTCTCTAAAATCAATAAAGAAAATAATAATAATGTGCTTGCTCCTGACCTTATTCTCAAGGTTAATTTTCTTCTACTTGCTCACTTGTTTCATATTTCTTCATCTTCAGGAGCACATGGAAGACGTGCATGTGAGAGAGAAAAGGGGTAGAGAGGGAGAATGGGAAGAAGGAGAGGAATGATTTCAAGCTGGAAACCCTCCTTCGGTTTTCCCAAGAGCAGGACAGTAAGTGACAAGAGGCCTTAGAAGTCGAATCTGCCCGAAGGTTTCCAGAGCTCAGAATCTGGGCTCAAGGGGCCACAGTTCCACGGGATGAAAGCCATCTTCAGTGTGCAGTGTTTTCCTGTTTGCCCTCACCTCCTTTTCCGAAATGGTTTTCTCCATATATTTTCTAACACTTGGGCAAGACATAAAGTCTAGAAAATACAACTAATTCTTACCTGTCTATAATATTTCTTCTCCCAAGCTTTACCTGCTTTAGGATAACCAGAAAAACCTCAGATGAGAGCTTCCTTTAAGATCTATAGCTTTGATCTCTTCTTGTTAGAATAATAATAATAGTAATAATAATACCATTGAACATTTTAAAATGGTTTTTGGGGGGGTTTTTTGTTTTTGTTTTTTATCCTCACCCGAGGACATTTTTCCATTTTTTTGTTCAGGTAGAGTGGGAGGGAGAGAGAGGAACAGAGAGAGAGAGAGAGAAACATCGATGTGAAAGGAACACATCGAGTGGCTGCCACCCGCACAACCAACCAGGGCCGGGGACAAACTGCAACCGAGGTACGCGCCCTTAGCGGGAACTGAACCCGGGTCTCTCAGGACCGCAGGCCGACGCTCTAACCGCTGAGCCAAGTCGGCCAGGGCCCATTGAACATTTTAAAATAAAAAATTCAAAAATTTCTGGAAAAATATCCCCACCCCTAAATCGATTCTGCTCCAGGATTCTCAGTATCTTTCTGTTTGGTTTTTAGCTCCCACCCATTCCTGAGTGTGTGCGGTCTGGGAGGTGGTCAATGAGCAGGGTATCCACCCCATTTAAGAAAGTCTCTGAAATGCTCTGGCAGCTGAGAAACTGCCCAAATGTGGGCAACAGAGAGCCAGTCTTCTCCGGTCTGGGGAAGAATCTATTCTCCTGGACATAGAAATCACACTGGACGCTCTCTGCTAGGTATGAATGGCCATGTGTCCTTGCTCACTTTGACCACCAGGAGGCGCAGATCCAAATTCAGGCTCAACATTCAAGTGTATAGGGCTTTGCATTTTGTGTACTAATCTATTTTCCTACCCTTATTTTTCCCCATCATATTTCTCCACCAATTTATGAAGTATATTTCAGAGATGAGCTACGACAGGTGCTAACAAGGTTTACTTACAAATAATCCCAGGAGGATGTAATTCGCAGGCACCTGACGGCGGAGTTTCCCACAGCAAGCAAGCACGATGAGCACAAAGAAGAATGCTGGGCTGAGGATAATTTAGAAAACCATGTGTTATTTGCTTCCAATGATTACATCATGTGATACAGGTAGACAGAGATATAGGTATCATGATATGATATTATCTGATAGTAAGTATTATAAAGTAAACAAAAATGTGGATTACTACCTTTACCTCTACTTTAACTTTTAAAACTAACTTTTCTCATCGCCATCCACAGACAGCTTGTGGGTTCTTTTTAAAATTTTTTATTTTGAAATAATTGTGAATTCACAGGAAGTTGCAGAGGGACAGAGAGGTCCTGGGTACCCTTTACTTAGTTTCCCATAATGGTTGCCGTGATGGTTACAGCTTACATTATTTACAGTATAATACTAATAGCAAAACCAGTAATTTGACAATGGTACAGTGTGGATATATGACACTGTATCATAGAACTGTGACAGAAATCTATGTGTAGATACATGTAACCAGCACCACAGTCAATATTTGAAATGATCCCATCATTAAAACATCAACAAAGATCTCCTTGTGCCAATGCCTTTATAGTAACACACATACTCCCCTAACTCCTGGCAGCCACTAATTTTCTTGTTTTCCCTTTTTTGTTAATCTTCAACCCAGGCATATGCTCCTGACTGGGAATCAAACCCAACTCCTTGGTCCACGCACCAACACTCTAACCATTGAGTCACACCAGCCAGGGCTGCTTGTTTTCCATCTCTATAATTTTGTCATTTGGAGAATGTTGCATCTTTGGGAGTGGGGGTGGGGATGGAGGTGGAGAAGGGTATAGTGGGAATAAAAGGTGATGGGGCCCTGGCCAGTGTGACTCATGGTTAGAGTGTGGGCTGATGCACTGAAGGGTCTCGGGTTTGATTCCCAGTCGAGGGCGCCTACCTGGGTTGCAGGTTTGACCCCTAGTCCTGGTCTGGGCATGTTCGGGAGACAACCAATCAATGTGATGTTTCTCTCTCTCCCTTTCCCCCTCTCCCCTTCTCCCCTTCTCCCCCTCCCTCCCTCCATTCCACTCACTAAAAATCAATCAAAAAATACCCTCGGGTGAGGATTAACAAAAAATAAATTAAAAAGTGGTGGGAGCCCTGGCCAGTTTTGCTCAGTGGTTAGAGCATCGGCCTGCGGTCCAGAGAGACCTGAGTTCGGTTCCCTCTAAGGGCATGTACCTCGGTTGCCCTTAGCCCTGGTTGGGTCGTGTGGGTGGCAGCCACTCGATGTGTCCCTTTCACGTCGATGTTTCTCTCTCTCTGTCTCTTCTTCTCTCTCCCTCCCACTCTATCTAAACAAAAAATGGAAAAATGTCCTCAGGTGAGGATTAAAAAAAAAAAGAAGTGGTGGGAAAAAAATAAATAGCTATAAAAAAGAATGTTATATCTTTACCTAATTTTTAATGAAGAACTTCAGTCAATAACTAGTAGAAACCCCAGTTTTTATTAAATCCAATAATACTTACAAGATCGCATAGGTGAACCAGGCATTCTTGCGTACCCAATTTTTTAAATCTGTCCTGGTTTAAAAAAAAAATCAATAGTTTTACTCCATAAGTAGTTAATTTTGCTAACTAAGGTAATACTTAAGTAGAAGTAAACCATGTCGTGAGAAGGGGGAACTCTAAGTGACTGACTGTGACAGGTGTGAACAACTCAGTGTGTCACCGACAGCGGCGGCGACTTACCAGAAAAGAAAGACGCTGATGATGGCCCCCGTGATCATCAGCTGAGTGGACAGCAGGAGGAACACTTTTGTCATGAAAGCTGAGGAGACAAAAACGTGATTTTTGTGGCATGATATTCAAAAGCAAAAATATCCGTGTAATGACCCATTGTTGATACTTAAGAGAAGGAACGTTTCCTGTGGCTTTCTGAGGACGGGAGATGGTGAGCCAGTGTGGTCAGCCCACTGAAGACCCCAGCAACGCAGCGCTGCAGACCTCGTGGGAAACAGCCTGGGAGGTCCGAGTGTTTGGCTGGGGATCTGAGAGTGTGTCCATAGGAACCCCAAAGTTTTCCAGACAAATTTAGGAGTTGAGTTCCTCCCGATGCACACCCTGTCTGTCCTCTTTCGGCCCCAAGGTGATCTGAAAGGCGCAGAGCGCCGCAGACCCATCGCAGGGATCCGGCTCCATCCTTGCGCAGCCTGGAGAAGGCCCATCGGGGTCGGCTGGTGGAGTGAGCCTGTCCCCCTTGGGCTTGGGCTTGGGCTTGGGCTGCAGGGAGTTTGCAGAGCTTTCCCACCGCTTTTCTCTCCCTCCACCTGCCTTAGGGCACACCCTTCCCTTCTGCCTGTGCAGACCTGGATAACCTGAGGAGTGTACAGGACGAGTGCAGAGGCGTCTCTTTGTGCTCACTTCCTACTGGCAGGTGTTTCTGAGCCCCCTGAACGTGGTGCTGCTAACGACAGTTTCCTTTTTTGTGGCTTTATGCCAGTTTTAAAAGGAAGAAGAGACATGCTGCTTAAAGTTGGCTTAGCCTCAGAGGGTCACAACTGTGTCCTTTTGCTGGGTGGTTCTGTGCGTAGGAAGTGTGACAGCGGAGGGATGGGCCTGAGCTACCTTGATGAAAATGCCAGGACATGTGTGTGCTGCCTGCATTAAAATAGTCATTTCGTTAACATTAATGTCACATCTACCGTGTATCAGGGACTGTGAGGGAATAAATATTAAATGTGGCCCAGCCTCATCAGGCCAGATGTGTAGATCAATGGAATAGAACTGAACGTCCAGAAATAATCTCTTACATTTATGGTCAATTGATTTTTAACAAATGTGCTAGAAAAATTCAACGGAGAATGAACAGTCTTTTCAACAAATGATGCTGGGGCAACTGGACATACACATCCCAAAGGGTGAATTTGCACCCTTTCCTCGTGTCATCCATCCATACAATCAGTGAGTGAAAAATGGACTATAGATATAAGAAATCAAACTCTTGGAAGGCACACACGTGTAAATCTCTGTAAGCATGGATTAGGCAATCCTGTTTATAGACGGGGTGCCTACAACACAAGCAAAGAAAGAAACAGATAAATTGGATTGCATCAATAGTAAGAGCTTTGTGCTTCAAATGATACCATCAAGAAAGTAAAAGAAAACCCAAAAACAGGGGGGGGGGGATATTTGCAAATCAAATATCTGGTAAGGGACATATTTAGAATCCATAAAGAATTACAATTCAAGCCTGGCCTGTGTGGCTCAGTGGTTGAGCATTGACCCATGCACCAAGAGGTCACCAGTTCTATTCTGGGTCAGGGCACATGCCCAGGTTGTGGGCCAAATCCCCAGTGGGGGGCATGCAGGAGGTGGCCAGTCGATGTTCTCTCTCACCGATATTTCTATCTCTCTCTCCCTCTCCCTTCCTCTCTCTAAGATGAATAAAGAAAAGAATTACAATTCAGTAACAAGAAGACAACAATTTAAGAAGGCAGAGCTGGTGTGGTTCGTGCCCTCCCACATTGACATGGCTTGGCCACCTGACCAGAGTTGCCCAGTGAAAGGTGGCATGTGGAATATAAGCAGAGGCTTGATAAATGGCTTGCACACTGGGGCTTGTCCACCTGGTAGGCTTCTTCCTGGGACCAGCTGCTATGTGATAAGAAGCACAAGTCACAAGAAGAGATCCACAAAACCAACACCGACTGCCAGTCTGTCAGGGAGTCTTAATGGCCATTGCAGCTTCAGCCACCATCTGATCAAAACTGCACAGAAGCCTCCAATCACAACCAACACAAAAACTGCCCACCCGAGCCCAGTCAACCCACAGAATCATGACAGCTAGTAAAATGATTGTAGTTTTCTAAAAAGTGGGCAAAGGATTCGAATAGACATTTCTTCAAGGGCCTATACACAGGTGAAAAGGTGCTGAACATCAATTAATCATTAGGGAAATGCAAACCCAAACTGCAATGAGATATTCCTTCACACACGCACACCAGAATGACTATGATAAAAAGACAGACAGGCCCTGGCCAGTTTGGCTCAGCGGTTACAGCGTTGGCCTGCAGTCCAGAGAGACCTGGGTTCGGTTCCCGCTAAGGGCACATACCTTGGTTGCAGTTTGTCCCCGGCCCTGGTTGGGTCATGCGGGTGGCAGCCACTCGGTGTGTCCCTTTCACGTCGATGTTTCTCTCTCTCTCTCTCTCCCTCCCACTCTACCTGAACAAAATATGGAAAAATGTCCTCGGGGGAGGAAAAAAAAAAAAAAGACAGACAGTAACGTGTTGAGGAGGATGCAGGAAAACAGAAATCCTCATACATAGCTTGTTGGAATGTAAAAAGGTACAGCCGCTTTGAAAAAGTTTGGCACGTCTTCAAATATTAAACATAAAGTTACCATATAGCTCAACAACTCCTAGGTACTTACCCAAGAGAAATGAAGACACATGTCTACACCAAATCTTATATATGAATGTTTATCACAGCATTATTCATAATAACCAAAAAGAGGAAGCAACCCAAATGTCTGTCAACTGAGAACTGGATAAATAAAATGGGTTCTCTCTAGGCAATGGGACACTATACAGCCATGAAGAAGGAGTGATGTACTGACACATGCTACAACATGCGTGAATCTTGAAGACACCATGCTGTGTGAAAGAAGGCAATCACCAATGACCACGTATTATATGATTCCATTTACATGAAAAATCTAGACTAGTCAAGTCCATAGAGACAGACAGAAATGAAGTGGTTGGCAGAGACTGGGAGAAAAGGGGTGGGAAGTGACTGCTAATGGATATGGGATTGCAAAACTATCAATATACTACCAGTCATTGAATTGGATACTTTAAAAGGGTGAAATTGATGATATGTAAAAATGTATCTCCATAAATCTGTTTTCAAAAATTGTAGTTCCCTCGCCTCCTAACTCTTAATCCATTACCAGCTTTATGTTTCCCTTTTCTCCGTAGCACTTCCATCTTACAGACCATAAAACCGGGGAGCGGGGCAGCCTCTGCCCTCCAGGAGAGGCAGGCACAAGTAACTACGTTAGTGGCGAGGAGGCTCCGCATGCTCTTCCTGTCGTCAGCCCCCGGGCCTCAGTTCCTCCTGACCTGGCACGACGCCCACTCCACGTACAGGGCCGGGAGGACTAAATGCGGTCATCTTCCCCGGTGCAGCGCCCAGTGAGAAAGGACTGGCACCTGTGGCAGAGGTGGCTCGTTGCTTAATGACACCCAGTCTCCCCAATGTCCTCACTGTCTAACCCCGATCTTGTTAAAGGTGGCAATGGACCCAACTGAAAAACTGCAGAGGGAGGTGGCCACGTGGTCCAGGTAGGGTCGACGACATGTCATTGGAAACGTGTGGGTGTGGTTTCTGGGAAAGTCTCTGAACTGAGGTCGAATTTGGAGGGCGTGAAGGACATCCGTCCGTGAATGGCGCCCCTGGAGTTGTCAGGGTGGCAGATGAGCCTTGGCCTTTACCTACCTGGAAGGCTAGAGCGCCAGAAGGAATCTTTCCAGCCCTGGGAGGATGAAGGCCATACCGGGACAGCAATGGCATTCACAGCTCAGGGTCCACCTTCAAGTTGCCCGGGCCCTAACAAGGCCTAAGGGGGGCAGAGTGGTCACGGGGACCTGCGGCATTTACCTTGAATTTTGTACCTTTGAACTTCATATTTCATGAATGAAAAATGCTTCTCATGTATTTAAGCCACTGTTTTTTAGGTTTCTTTCCTCACAGCTGAATGTATTTCCTGTACAGAATTAATATCTAGGGCCCTGAATTAATATTCTTTAACACTGAAGCCAATAGTATGGTATTACATTGTATGTAGGTAAGAACATTCTACAACTGATGACTGAGTCATAATTCCTAAGAAAACCACACGTTGTTCACTATAATACGTTTATAGGAATTTCTGAATGCCCTGGATGTCATGGTAAAGCATGGCTGGGAAAAGCTAAAAGCAAAATTCAATCTTGCTGACAATCTACTCCATTGGGAACATTTTAAGAGAACATGTGCTTTTCTCTCCCCAAAAGGTAATTTCTTTATTCTCACCTCTGCGGACTGGTGCTTCTGAGAACGGGCTGGTTAACGCATTGCTGTCAGTGGGGGTGGTCTCATCTGAAATTTGTATAACGTAGGAGTCCACTTTCTGCCCAGTATTCGAACGTGGTTTCTCCTGAGCTCTTTTTTGCCTAGGTGAAGATGCAGGTTCCTGGGACTTCTTAGATTTGGTCTGGGTGTTATCATCTGCTGCTTTCCGGACCAGATGTTGGTGATCTCCAGTACTAAAGTCTATTGGTTCACTGACCTCCAAGTCCATTTTTCTGAAGGTGGAAAATTGTTATTCAGGTTTTTATGGTCATACTGCTGCAACCATACCATCCTCATCACACGCAAACGATTTCCCCTTATTTTAACTTCGTTGGCCCAGTACTTACCAAGTCAGTGCTCAATAAATACCTGTTGAATAAATGATGAATAAATACTTTCCTAAGGATGATGCCCATAGAGCGATATGGCAATATTGCCCATAGAGCAATGCCCATATTTGCATTCTGTTATGAAATTAAATGTATTCAGCGAGGAGTTGTAAGTTCCCTCTGTGTGCCAAGTGTGGAGGTGCCTGCACCACCTCTGCCCGCGGAGAGCTCACATGTTGGGAGAGCAGGTAACCAAACAGACAAGTGTATGCAGGGCCAGGAACAACAGATGGTACAGGATTCCCCACGAAGTCTGGAAGAACACGCGAGGAGTAGAAGAGGTGGGCAAAGCTTCTGGAAAAGGGGAGGTTTAGGCCAAGGCTGCAGGTGAGTAGGAGTTAGTCAGGTGAAGAGGTGGGGGAAGGTTTGCCCAGCAGAGGAATCAGCCTGGGCCAGGACTGGAGGAAGCAGAGCTGACAGGTTCCAGAAACTGAAAGAAGTTCGTGTGGCTGGAGCAGGGCGTTCAAGGGGGAGAGTAGGAGGAGCTTAAGCAGAAGAGCCTGGAGCAGAGCACTGACGGACTGGCAAGCCAAGCTCTTCCCAAAGGCCAGGGCTGTGGTAGGCAGAATACTGGTCTCCCCAAAATGTCCACGTCCTAATCCCTGGAACCTATGAATATGGTACCTCACATGGCAGAAGGAACGTTGTAGATGGGATTAAGTTAAGGACTTTAAGGTGGGATAGGATCCTGGATTTTCTGGGTGAGCCCAACAGAATCACAAGTGTCCTTATGGTCATACTTACAAGGGGGAGGCAGGGGGACCAGAGTCAGAGAAGGAGATGGGACAACAGAAGCAGAGGTCAGAGTGACACAGTGACCGTCTTTGAAGATGAAGGAAGGGGCCATGAGCCAGGAAATGCAGGTGGCCTCTGGCAGGTGGAAGAGGCAGGAAATGTGTCCTCTCCTGGAGCCCCTGGAAAGGAACGCAGCCCTGCGGACACCTCGATTCTAGCCCATCGAATCAGACTTTGGACTTCTGACTTCTAGGTACTAAATGTGTGTTGTTTTAAGGCATTTCGTGTGTAGTGATTTGTTACAGCAGCGATCAGTAACTGACAGAACAGGAATCACTGGCGGTTTTCCAGCAGGGGACCACAGGGACTTGACGAGAAAGATCACACTGGGCACCGCGGAGAATGGGCCGGAGGAAGAGAAAGTGGAGCAAAGAGAGCGGAGCCCCGGGGAAGAGGTTGTGGTGGGCTGTGCCACAGTGCTTTGCAGCAGGACACGGTTCTTAGAAAACCAGTACTACACGGACCAAAAATGACAAAAGAGAAGGCCCCCAGGAACCTCCTGGGGACAGGAAGACTCAGACAAGCCCCTGTTCTTGGCCTCCTGACCACAAAGAGAGCCAAGGAGGAGTTTGAGAAGGAGATCGCCGAGATGGTCCGGACTCAGACAACGTAGGGAATGTCTGTAAATAGGCCTGAACGACACACCGTGCTCTTGGAGAGGCAGACGTTTTGTACAGATGTCCCTTCTCAAGTTAATCTGTAAAGTTTTACAGAATTCACTGGGATTTTTTTTAGTACTTGAAAACATAACTCTAGAGTTTGTCAGAAAGAGTAAATGTGGGAGAATAATCAAGAAATATAATGGAGCCCTGGCCGATTTGGCTCAGTGGTTAGAGCATCAGCCTGCGGTCCTGAGAGACCCGGGTTCAGTTCCCGCTAAGGGCATGTACCTCGGTTGCAGTTTGTCCCTGGCCCTGGTTGGGTTGTGTGGGTGGCAGCCACTCGATGTGTCCCTTTCACGTCGATGTTTCTCTCTCTCTCTCTCCCTTCCACTCTATCTGAACAAAATATCAAAAAATGTCCTCGGGCGAGGATAAAAAATAAAATAAAATAAAATCAATAAAGAAAAAAATTAAAAAAAAAAAAAAAAAAAGAAATATAATGGAAAGAGAGGGGAAAAGGGATTTGCCTTATTATAAATCAAAATATCATATAGATATATAATTAAAAGTAGTGTTAGCATGCCAATAGGTAAATGGATCAATGGGAGGGAAGAGATTCAAGAAATAGACTCATGTATATATGAGAATTTAATTTTGATAAAAATGGCATTTTAAATTATTGTCCCATGATGTTGGAAAACAAAGTTTAATAGCTATTTCACATCTTTCACAACAATGCAGTCCAGATGAATTAAAGATACTATCATAAATAATAATAGCCATAGATATTCTACAAGAAAATATCAATGAATATTTGTGTAAACCTTTGTAAGAATGATACCATAAAAGAAATGCCTGACAGACTTGGGTATAAGAACCCTTTAAATATCATGACAAAAAGATACCAGTACATCTGAAATGCAAAATTGTGAAAATAAATTTTTCAATATTTACTATACTGTAAAAAACAACTTTTTTTTTTTGCATTCATCTTCAGATAAAGCAGGAGGGAGAGAGGGAGGACGAGAGAGAGAGAAACATCAATATGAGAGAGACACACCGAGTGGCTGCCACCCACACGACCCCAACCGGGACTGGGGACAAACTGCAACCGAGCCATGCGCCCTTAGCGGGAACTAAACCTAGTTCTCTCTGGTCCACGGGCTGACGCTCCAACCACCGAGCCAAACCGGCCAGGGCAACAACAACATTTTAACAAAGAAAAGATAAGCAACTGAATAGAAAGACGAGAAAAGAACACAGATGGGCAATTAATAGAGGACATTTTAATGATCAATAACTTAGGTGATGATACCTACCTCACAAATAACCAAAGAACTGCAAGCAGAAACAATTGTGAAATGTCATATTTGCACAAAGGACTGGCAAAAACTAAAAATAATTAATTCTCAGAATTGCAGAGATGTGGTGAAATGGGTAACCTAGGGCCACATGATGACTTGCAGGTGCCTAAACACATTTGCCTTCATGGGTCCCCTTTCCATAAAAAATATGAAAAAATATATTTTACAGCTGCCTTTAATATAAAATATATAATCCCATTTGGACTCATTATATATCATAAAGTCATTGGTATTATATTTTTTTTCTCCTGATTTTAAAAGAAGTTAAAATTTTTATGACCCCTAAAACTGTCACGGGTACTAGGCAATGTGCCTACTCTGCCCAGAGGCTAAGTCAGCCTAGAGATAGCCTCACAGATATTGGCAGGTGTGTTAACTTTTCTGGTGAGTAATTTAGACACAGCTGTCAAAATTCAAAATGTGCCTTACTTTACATTCATTCATTACATTTTTAGGAATTTATCCCATAAAAATACCCACACAACTAGACAACCATATGTGTATAAAGAAGTTCATTACATTATTAATTGTAACTGCAAAAAAATTAAAACAGGCTAAATATCCAGTATTAGGGGATGGCTCAATTAATTTTAGCCAGAAAAAGGCAGATATATATGGACTGATGTGGTAAGTTCACTTTGATACACTTTTGAATTTAAAAAGTCAGATTTTGCCTGGTTGGTGTGGCTCAGTGGATTGACCCTTGTCCCATGGACTGAGTGATCCGGGTTTGATTCCCGGTCAGGGCACGTGCCTGAGTTTTGGGCTTGATTCCCAGTGAGGGGCCTGCAGGAGGCGGCTGATCAATGTACCTCTCTCACATTGATGTTTTTATCTCTCTGTCTAAAAAAAATCAATAAAACACTATTTTAAAAAGTCAGGTTAGAGAATAATACCTAGTAAGATCACATTGTTTTATACACACACACACACACACACACACACACACACACACACACACACACACATTTCCAGAGACTGAAAAGATATACTACAAACTATTGAAATGGTTATCTCTAACACAGCAGAGTTAGGGAATACCTCTGAATAGTATAAATTTTTATAATGAGCATGTACTATTTATATAAAAAGAAATATTTACATTTTGAAGAGTAAAAGCAAGATTTTTCCTTTTTGATCGAGTCTGGAGCTCCTCTGAAGAAAGCAATCTTCACACAGAGCTGAGAAGCACTAAAAGATGCTCACATAACCAAGTTGGTTTCTTTCCCAGCCATCCTGCAAATCAGAAGGGCGAGAAGCAGCAACGTTTTCAAAGCACTGAAACCAAAACCAAACAAACAAAAATTAAAGGCAGCTGAGTTTTCCTCACAAAATTATATCACAAAATGCAGCTTTCATCTGGTCCTCCAACAGCTTCCCCGGCTCCTAAACCAGCGGTCAGCCAAGGGGCAGGCGGGCTGGACTGAGCAAAGTTCCGAGCAGCAGTTAGGGGAGTGGCAGTTGGAGCATGGGGTGGTCCAGGGAACCCCTGTACTTAGGAGACGGACTCTGAGACAAGTCCATCTGCCCAGCCTTATACTGGTCACAGTCACGGCCACTGTGCTTCCTGCTGAGTCCCAGGCAGACCTACACTTGAATCCCCAACACTGATTCCATGTCCTGAAGCAGACCCTCCGGGCTTCTGGAGCACATGGCATCTCCCCACTGTGCCCTCACCTCTCCCGAGCAGGAGGAAGATGCTTATGAAATGCAACCAGGGATTCTGAACAATTCTTTCAAATAAGTAAGACTTGTTTATGATAAAGCCAGCGTTGGTTGTTCTGGTGGATGATGACGTTGGTGCCTCCCATGGTGCAGGGAGCTGTGTACCCGGCCATGCACACCAGTGAGGAGCTGGGGAGGCCTGATTCCGGCTGTTGGGTGAGAGGAGTCAGATGACGAGGTGGCGGGAGCGAGGAGGGCAATGGGAGCAGACACTTGTCCCGAATGGAGCCTGAATGAGAAAAGGCTCACTGATATATTAGCCCACATATTAAACTGCTAATTAGTGCCTGCCTGCGGTGTGCAAGGCGTAGAAAACAGAAGGGACACAAAGAAGGGAAAGGCAAACATCCTCAACAGGCTCGTAGTGCAGTGGAGGAGACGGGTACAAAGCTATACCTCAAGGTAGAAGGAAGAGTCAGCAAGGAAGAGCTATCTGAGTCAGGGGGTTGGACAAAGGAGGCGTGACTTCGGTGCAGAAGCTTCCTGAAGGGAGTGAACTGATTCTGGAAAGGTGCAGAGGGTGGGTGTGAAGTGTTGGGAGGAAGCATATTCCAGGCACAGAGAACACCCTGAGGGGTGGGGATCGTGGGCACACAAGCAAGACAAGAGACTTCCCTTCACTTATAACATGGAGGTGCAGTGGGATATCCTGCCGGCCCCCGAGGAGAGAAAAAGGAAAAGTCCAGCAAGAACATCTGCCAGCTCTCTTCCCTGCACCTTCGTGCAGTTCCGTGGGTCTCACTCTTCCTCTCTCTGTCCATCCACAATCTCTCTTTAGTTTGCTAATGGTAATAGGCAACTTGAGTTAATTACATTTTTTCCAAGATTACCTGTGAACAGGGAAGGGGCATAAAGAATGACTTGACTAGTCTGGTCAAAAGAAATGCTGCTTCCTCCTCCTCCTGTGTTACCAGTCACAGAGTTGATGTTGATCAGGCATTTACCAGATGTGAATGCTGCTCACGACCTCACATGTCCTAACTCACTGAACCCTCGCATCCACCCTGTGAGGTGCTCTCACAGGTTAAGCCACTAGAGACTGAAGCAAAATGCTCCCTAAGTATCCGGAATCTGCACTGCCCACACTCACCAAAACACAAAATGTGGTGACTAGCATTTGCTCTCTCTCTCTCTCTTTTTTTAATTTTAAGAGTTTTAGTTCATGAACCATGCAACACCTAAATCATGCAAATTACACTGCATGCTGACCTCGATAATCCATCCCTCGGGGAAATCAGCTTTCTTTCCCTTAGTGTTAATATTAAGACCTTGGAAGGTATTTATTTCTGTCTTTACAGCTCCCTCTCTCTCTTTCTGTGCGATCTCTCTCCTGACACCTCAGGAAGCCCGGGCCTGGCCAACCGGGGCTCATGGTCTTCCTGAGGCACCAAGGAGGGAGAAGAGGATTGGGTCGAACTTTACTGACAGCGCCTTCCTGAGTTCTTGTCTCCTGCCCATTTCCCTCACCTGCCTCCTGGACCCCCCATCACCGTCTCAGCCTGATGGTCCTATTTGTCCTCACAGCGCACCGCTCTAGGTCATTCCAGTCCAGCGACTTTTTTTTTTTTAATTAATTAATTTTTGTTACAGATGTTTCTCCTTTTTCCCCCACTGATTCCCCCCTCCCTCTCCCTCCCTGCCCTTTCCCCAGTTTGTTGTCCATGTCCACTGTTCATGCCTGTGGTTTATCTCTCCTCCCCCCTCTTCTGGGGATTGTCAGTCTGTACCCCACTTCCACGTCTCTGGGACTACCCCATTCCTCAGACTGTTATGTTCATTATATTCCACAAATAAGTGAGATCATATGAAACTTGTCTTTCTCTGTTTGGCTTGTTTCACTTAGGATGATACTTTCCAGGTCCCTCCATGTCGTCTCAAAGGATAAGAGATCTTTCTTTCTTACAGCTGCGTATTACTCCATTGTGTATATGTACCACCGCTTTTTTATCCATTCGTCTACTGATGGACACTTCAGTCCAGCGACTTTCAACAGGTGCCCCATGGCAGGCACACCAGTGTGCCGCAAGAATCTTTTAAAACCTGCACTACCTGCGTATTTATTTAGTCAGGGGCACTGACCTCTTTTCCCTTAGACTGTCAAATAAGAAAATGACAATGGCTCTGGCCAGTTTTCTCAGTGATTAGAGTGTCAGCCTGCAGACTGAAGAGTCGCGGGTTTGATTCCTATTGCAGGAGATGTGTCTCTTTCTCATCGATGTTTCTGTCTCTCTCTCCCTCCTGTTCTGTCTGAAAATAAATGGAAGAATATCCTCGGGTGAGGGTTAAGAAAAAAGAAAGAAAATGACAACGGCCAACACAATAGCCATCCAGTGTGAATGAATCAAAATTATGCCTATTTTTTGTGTCAGATCAGCAAAAAAACATATTGTTTGGTGTGCAGCAGAATTTTAGTAATTAGTCTGTGTGTGTCGGGAGAGGAAAAGGTTGAAAATCGCAGATCTAGTGCATCTGCCCAAGAGCTTTGTGGTGCAACAACTTTGCTGCTTGGAGAAGCCCCACTCCTTGACCTAGAACGATGCTCAAGCACAGTAACTGACCAGATCTCCGCAGGTCCCTGAGGAGGGTAACACCAACCTCCCTTACAAAGGAACCGGCTGCACGCAGAGGTTGGGTTGCCAGTCCTTGAACCAGTTATTGTCCACTCTACAACTCCTCCTCCTCTTCCTCATTATTGTTCTAATTAATTTTTAAAAAGCATACATGTGGTGAAAAATTTTTAAACAATACAAAAGAGTGAAAAATGAAAAGTGAGTCTCCCTTCCTCACCAGCTCTGTTCCCGGCGACTGTCAACAGTTTCATGTCTAAATGACTAAAAGATGTACCTGTCACACATGAGCTTTTAAATTTATATAAAATGATCATATTCTATACACTGTTCCATAAATTGCTTTTCCCCTTCTTTTATAAAAGTGATAATAAAGCATAATTAACATTAACTACTTTCAGATGTACAACATCTGGTATTTGTATAGATTGTGAAGTGATCACACTTAATTCCAGTTAACATTCATCACCATAGATAGTTACAAAATTTTTCTCGTGATGAGAAGAAAAGACCTACTCTTTTAGAAGACAACTTTTAAATATGCAAACCAGTATTAGTAACTATAGTCACCATGCCCTTGACATCCCCTTGACTTGTTTATTTTATAACTGGAAGCTTATGCCTCTTGACCCATTTTGCCCATTTTGTCCATCCCCCACCTCTGGCAACCATCAATCTGTTCTCTGTATCTATGAGCTTGGATTTTTTTTTGTTTTAGGTGTTTGTTTGTTTTTTTTTAGATTCCACATATAAGTGAGATCATACAGTATTTGTCTTTCTCTGACTTACTTAACTTAGCATAATGTTCTCAAAGTCCATCCATGTTGTCCGGAATGGCAAGTTTTCCTTCTTTTTTATGAATGAATAATATCCCATTGCATGATAAAAAAATTTTTTTTATCCATTCATCCATTGATGAACACTTAAGTTGTTTCCACATATGGGCTATTGTAAATAATACTGCAATGAACATGTGGGTGTGCATATTTTTTCAAGTTAGTGTTTTCATTTTCTTCAGATAAATACACAAAAGGGAAATTGCTAGATCATATGATAGTTCTATTTTCAATTGTTTGAGGAACCTCTATATTGTTTTCCATAGTGGCTGCACTAATTTATATTCTCACCAACAGTGCACTAGGTTTCCTTTTTAAAAACATCCTCATGAATATGTATTTCTTGTTTGGTTTTGTTTTGTTTTTATAATAGCCATTCTAAAAGATATGAGGAGGTATCTCATTGTGGTTTTTGATTTGCATTCTCTGATGATTAGTGATGTTGACCATCTTTTTAAGTACCTGTTTGCCAGCTGTATGTCTTTTTTTGGAAGATGTCTACTCAAATCCTCTGCTCATCTTTAAAAATTAGATTTTTTGGGTTTTTTTGCTATTGAGTCACATGATTTTTTAAAATATATTTTAGATATTAACCCCTTACTAAATATATGATCTGCAAAATATTTCCTCCTGTTTGGTAGGTTACCTTTCCATTTTGCTGATGGTTTCCTTTGCTGTGCAGAGTTTTTTAATTTGATGTATTCCCACTTATTTACTTTTGTTTTTGGTGTCAGTTTCAAAAAATCATTGCCAAAAACTGATATCAGGGAGCTTACCACCTATGTTTTCTTCTATATTTTTATGGTTTCAGGTCTTACATTCAAATATTTAGTCCATATTGAGTTAATTTTGGTTTATAGTAGGAGATAGTGGTCCAGTTTCATTCTTTTGCATGTGGCTGTCCAGTTTTTCTGACACCATTTATTGAAGAGATTGTCCTTTCCCCATTGTATATTCTTGACTTCTTTCTTATAAATTAACTGACCACATATGCATGGGTTTATTTCTGGGCTATTCTGTTCCAATGATATATGTGTCTATTTGTATGCCAATACCATACTGTTCTGATTACTATGGGTTTGTAATATAGTTTGAAATCAGGAAGTGTAATGCCTCCAGCTCTGTTCTTCTTTCTCAAGATTGCTTTGGTTGTTTGGGGTCTTTAGTGGTTTCATACAAATTTTAGAGTTGTTTATTCTATTTCTGTGAAAAATGCCATTGGAATTTTTATAAGGACTGCATTGAATATCTAGATTGCTTTTGGTAGCATGGACATTTTAACAGTATTAATATTTCCAATCTGTAAGTATAGAATAGCTTTCCATTTATTGTGTCTTCCTCAATTTCTTGCATTAATGTCTTATGGTTTTCAGTGTACAGGTCTTTCACCTCCTTGGTTAAATGTTTGGCTTTTCCCTCCTCTTAATTATATCTGAGATCTTTTCATATCAGCATATGTAAGAGCCTTGAACAGTTTCCTATCTCACTCAGAATAAAATCCAAAATCCTTACTTTGATTGACATAATCTTGATGCCAAAGCCTGACAAAGATTGTACAAGAAAAGAAAATTATAAGCCCATCTCACTCATGAACATACATGCAAAAATCCAACAATATGTAAAAATGATAGCACATCATGACCAAGTTGGATTCATTCCAGGAGTTTCAATGTTAATTTAACATTCAGAAATCTGTGTAATCTGCATGTTAATAGATTAAAAAAAAAAAAAAAAAAAAAAAGCTTTATGATCATCTCAGAGAGAAAATGATTTGATAAAATTCTATATTCCTGATGAAAATAGGAATAGAAGAGAACTTCTTAACCTGACAAAGGGAATCTAACAAAGGGTGTTAGAAGTCACCATAGTGGTTTTCTCTGTATATAAGGCAAGTGGGGGGGAGGCTCTTATGGTAGTAATGTTCTATTCCTTAATTTGGTTGTCCAGGTATGGTTACTTTGTAATGATCAAGCTGTGCAGGAATAAGTTGGATACTTTACAGTACATGTATTATATTTCATTTTTAAAAATTGTAAAATAATTTACAAAGAAAAAAAGTGTAGTTCTTCCTGACTATCTCAGAAGGGTAGAGGGTGTGACCAGGGAGCTATCAAGAACAGGAGATGAAGATCAGTGGGATGAGGAGAAATGGAGAAAACAAGGTGTTGGGTGGTGCTTATACATGTGGCTATTTACCCTACCCAGGATAGTGTCCTTTGGTGGAGAGGAAGCTGTTGAGCCCAGGGCCTATGTTTTCAGTGAAGAGAGGGAGAAGCTTGGAGATGAGATGCAGAGGGGGAATACATTACCAGGAGAAAGAAATTAAAGAGCATGAAATTTCATACCTAGATCCCTCTCACAGAGTGCATTGTTCTAAAATAAGGAAACAAGCCTTGGCCATTATGGCTCAGTGGTGAGAGTGTTGGCCCATGTACCAAAGAGTTCCGGGTTCAATTCCGGCCAAGGGCACGTACCTCAGTTCATCCCCGGCCCCAGGGAAACAACATTCTTTACCTATTCTCCTCAACCATTTTTACAGTTGGTCTTAATCCCTATAATGGCCCTGGAAAGTAGTTAATATTCTGTTTTACTATTGGGGAAACCTAGACTCAGAGTGAGGATGACTGAGCCACAGCCCAGACTACAGGGCTACTCTAAAGGCCTGTCCAGATATGATACCAAGAGCAGCCACTGTGTTGACAGCCAGTCCAAATCATGGTTCTTCTGTTGATCGGCTAACAGTAAAGTAGGGATACTATCTTGTTCCAGGTAGCTCATAAGCACTAATTGAGACTTCATGACATCATAGGCATTCAACACATTTGTCTTCCCCCTCTCCCACTTGATCACACCACCAACACATTCATCAAGATCTCTCCAAAAATATCAAGTCCAAAAATCCCAGGATCATGAAGGCAGGTATGCAACCACCACTTTACCAGAGAAGCTGAGGAGAGGCTCCTTTTCCTGGTGAGGACTGTACTGACTAGACAGTAATAGAGCAGGGCTGGCTTTTCATAATGAGCTTGTCCTAAGCCAGCTGTTCTGGAGTCCGGGGAGGTCCCAAGACCCTTGCACAGAATCATTGGGGTCAAAACAGTTTCCCAACAATGCCAAGTCAGTTATTTGCCTTTTCCACTCTCATTCTCTCACTGGGTACTGTTCAGAGGCTACAGGCTGAATGATGACATCATTCAAGTATGATGGTATCACCCAATGGTTTTTTCTTTAAATCCTCACTGGAGGACACATTTTTGTTTTTTGTTCAGAGTGAGAGGGAGAGAGAGGAAGAGAAAGAGAGAGAGAGAGTGAGAGAGAGAGAGAGAGAGAGAGAGAGAGAGAGAGAAATATCGACGTGAAAGGGACACGTTGAGTGGTTGCCACCTGCACTACCCAACCAAGCCTGGGGACAAACTGCAACCGATATACATGCCCATAGCAGGAACTGAACCCGCGTCTCTCTGGACCACAGGCCGACGCTCTAACCGCTGCGCCAAACCGCCAGGGTAACACCCAATGGTTAATGAATGTGTGCTTTACATCTTAGGCTGAAATGTCTATTTCAATTCCTAACCCATAAATGTCCATGGATATAGTCCATATAAACAAAAGTACTTGAGAGTCTAAATTATATTTTTTTATCTTTGTTTTTATTGTTGACACTATTATAGATGTCCCCATTTCCCCCCTTTGCCCAACTCCACCCAGTCCCCGCCTCCCCTTCCCTCTGGCCACCACCACACTGCTGTCTGTGCCTGTGTGTCAGGCATATATGTTCCTTGGCTAATCCCTTCACTTTCTTTCATCCAGTCCCCTTCTGCCTCCTCTCCTGACAGCTGTCAGTCTGTTCCATGTATCCATGGCTCTGGTTCTATTTTACTAAGAGTGTACAGGGGTCCCAAGAAGGAATGCCATATTTAGCAAATAAAACTACAGGGCAGCCTGGCGGTGTGGCCCAGTGGCTTGAGCATCGTCCCATGGACTGAGAGGTCCTGGTTCGATTCCTGGTCAGGGTACATGCCTGGGTTGCAGGCTTGATCCCCACTGGGGGGCATGCAGGAGGCAGCCAATCCATGTTTCTCTCTCACATCAATGTTTCTCTCTCTCTCTCCCTTTCTATCTAAAAAAAAAAAAAAAAAAAATCATTAAAAAAAATACAGGACACTCAGTTAAGTTTGAATTTCAGATAAACACGAATACTGCACGGAATACACATATTTAAAAAATTATTCTGTGCTTATCTGAGATTCCAATTTGATTGGACGTCCTGTATTTTACCTGTGAATCCTAGGCCCAAGGCCAAAACGTTGCGAACAGCACACTCAATAGCAGCGCGCCCCCAGTGCGGCACTTCCGGTGAGGCGGGGCGCGGCGCGGGCCCCGCCCACCGCCGGAAGCCGCCTCAGGGTGGCTGCTCGGGGTTCCTCCCCGGCCCCGCCCCGCCCCGGCCCCGCCTCCCGGCGCCTCGGTGGCCCGGGCCCGCGCTGGGCGCCCAGCGGGAGTCGCCTTCCTGCCTCCAGGGACAGCGGCCGCGGCCTGGTCCCAGCGTGGGCAGCTTGGCGCCCGCGCCCCAGCCGCTCTTCCTGTCGCTGGACGTGGCGGGCCGGCCATTGGGCGGCCGGGGCCGGCGGTCGCCATTCCCGTGTCGCTGCGCCCGCGGGGGCCGCCCGAGCCGGCCACGATGCCCCTGGGCCTGAAGCCCACCTGCAGCGTCTGCAAGACCACGTCGTCCTCCATGTGGAAGAAGAGCCCGCAGGGGGAGATCCTCTGCCACCACTGCTCCGGCCGGGGCGGCGCGGGCGGCGGGGGCGCCGGCTCGGGGGCCGCCGGCGGGACTGGGGGCAGCAGCGGCGGGGGCGGCTTCGGGGCGGCGACCTTCGCCAGCACCTCAGCCGCCCCTTCGCAGAGCAACGGGGGCGGGGGCGGCAAGCAGGTGAGCTCCCCGGCCCCTCCGCCCGTGGAGGCCCCCAGCGCGGGCCTCCGGCAACGTCCCTGCCCGCGGGCCGCCGCCTCAGCCCTGGGACCCTCACTGTCCGCCCCTTCTGAGCCCTCTTGTGAGTCCCAGGCAGCAGGAAAGCTGCAAATCCTCCGGAAAGCCCTCCCCTTGTAACACTGTTCTGGTAGCAACCAGACACCTCCTCCTCCACACGTTCCCACAGACCGTGCTGCCGGACTTGTCCCTGTTCATAAAGGCGGTTTTGTCCTCGTGTCATGCTAGTAACACTGTCATGTCCTCCTTTTAAGCGGCAGCGTAGGTTCCGGAGTAGGAAGGAGGGGGCTGGCTCGCCCTTGGAGGACCGAGTCGCCGGGGGTTTCTCCGTGGATATCACTCCCGTCCTGCCTCTTGCCCGGTTCTAGCGTCCCGCCGGTCTCGGAGGCTCGCGGCGCGTGCCCAGGGCTCCCTGTTCCGTTAGCCCAGTGCTTGTGATTGCGCAGCACTCCATGGGAGGGGTGCACCCTGCTTAATTCCCAACGTCCGCGTCCAGTGCGCGCCAGGGGATCTTTGTGAGATGTTTGTGTTCGTGCGGCAGCTTTTCCACGCCCTTTCTTTCTTTCTCTTTTTTGTTCTTTATGTAACAGAGTAAGCAGGAAATTCACAGGAGGTCTGCTCGGCTCAGAAACACTAAGTACAAATCTGCTCCAGCCGCCGAAAAGAAAGTTTCCACTAAAGGAAAAGGGAGAAGACATATTTTTAAATTAAAAAATGTAAGATGATTGTGGTATTTTTTTTTAACTGTAATAGCATTGTGTGTAATGTTTCCTGCCTCTGCCGTCACCTCCGGCCACTGAACTTGAACCCTCCTCCTGGGAGCCCTTCTGTAGCATTCTGGGGAGTGGGCCACACTTTCTAAAGAGGCTTCAGCTCTGTTGCAGGAGGCTTACTGTTTATGAAGTTAGCAATACCCTTTCGCTTTTTTTAGCTTTTCTCTTTCCTCTGGGAAATGTAGTCTAGAAGCAGCATAAACTTTGGGTGCACTTTATTGGATTCTTTATGCAAAGGATTATGGTATGGCCAACTACACTAAGAAAACTGTTTCTTCAGTTTTTTAAAGATCTAAGTAAATAATACTCGAACTCATTTCCCTACTTGTTTGTTATAGACCCAGAAAATGTATTTTACTGACTTATGATCAATTTGGTTAATATGGATTACATTTTTGCTAAACCCTTATCTTTTGCTGTAAGAAAACAGGTCGTTGAATGATTTGTGGTGAGAGTAGTCAAAAGCACATTTTTCGTGCAGTAAATTATCATTATCTTTGTAAATACATGGGGACATGGTCCAACACAATGGACAATGCATTGTAGACAATTTTTTTTAGACCTCTGTATGGTATTCTTTCCTTTTCAGAGCAGGAATGGTTGACTTACCAGTAAGGGCATATTCATCCATAAAACACAAAGGAGCATCCAGTATATTGTGCAGCTTGTGGGTTCTTTTCTCATTGGGAGTACTTGTCCCTAATTTGTTCAAGATTTTTATAATTTAGTCTAAAAATGAGGCATTTGTTAAGTAGAAAAAACATGTTAAGTAAATATCCATTTGATTATAGCTGTATCGCTTATGTGTTTTCCTCTTAAGTGTGATAGAATGTGTTCTCTGCAATTATTTCAGTATCAATTTCAATAGCAACCTCTTCAAGGATGATACCAAGACATATTTGGGGAGGTCTGCTTTCTCTGTTGTGGCATAAAAGTGTGTATTTCAGTTTAAGAGTGGATTTCAATGATGGGCTGGCGGTGGCAGATTACCAGGAACTCCCAAGGAAGTTTCTTTTAGCTTTAGTTCCGGCTTGCTAGAAAATAGGTTCTGATGACATCGAGTATCATAGTTGGTTCCATAGTTAAGCTGAGATGGAAAATGTCTTTAAGGAAACACTTTTTCACTTTGTGCTCACCTACCATTTTTTATTCCATTTCTGTTATGCTCAGGCCATTAGAGGCAGTATATTTTATAACTAAAATGTTAATGTGTAATAAAGCTCTGAGAGGGCCTGTGTTAGCTCTCAGCAGCATAATCAGAAGCTTGTCCTCTAGTTCCCAGCAATTTTTAAGTTAATGGTAGCAGAAAATGCAGTGGAAATACTCATATTTGCGCTTTGCCACAACATTTAGAAAATCCTTTTTTTTTTTTTTTTTTTTTTTTGCAGTTTTGTCACCAAACAACAAAGTTAGTGTTTCTCAAATTACAGAACTCTCACATATGGCTGGAAAAATACCTGAACACACACACATACAGAGAATGAATGTGCTAATATTTTTACTTTTTTTTTCATAGCCCATCAAAGCTCCTGAGTCAGTTTCCACCATAATTACTGCAGAATCAATCTTCTACAAGGTAAACATCTGTAGAGTCTCCGAGGAAGATTTGGGCCTACTGTGTAGTGTGCTACTGAAATGTTGGCTTGGTCTGAAGGTCTCTGCTACTCTGTAAAACTTGTGATAGTTTTTGGTTTTTTTCGAAGCTATTTCTCCCAGAGGTAGTTATTATAAAACAGCTCATCCAGGGCTGAGGTGGGAGGGGAAGTATCCCTTGAGTGTACCCGTTTTTGCTAGCCCAGAATCTGTATAGTCTGAAACAGTCTATACACAGGCAGACATCTCTCCTATATTTCCAGCATTTCATACATTGTTAATAATACATAGATAAGTTTACTGTGTGCCTCCTATTTATCAGGCACTGAGGTGAGATTTCACATGCTTTGTTTCTTTCAACCCACTCCATGAAGTAAGTACTATTATCCCCATTTTATGGATGAGGACATGAGTCACAGAGTGGTTAATTACTGGTCCAAGATCACATAGCCAAGAAGCATAGAGTGAGGCCACCTGATGCCAGAGCTCAGCTCCTGGCTCTACTGCTTGGGCAAGTGGCAGTGTGGTTTGGCTAGAACTAACCTCTCTGATGTTTCTTCATCTATGAAATAGGAATTGTAAATAGAAACGACCTCATTGGGGCAAGTGAGATCATGTATGTTAACCACCTAATAAAGTAAGCAGACAGTGAATTGTAAAAATTATCATCACATTTTCAAATTGTGCATCATTTTCACAGCTGAACATAGAGTTTACAGATTAAGTTCAGAAGCAACTGATTGAGCTAAAAACTTAGTGTACTGATGATTTTTAGGCATGTCTCAATGGAAAGTACATGAGACCTGTTATTGCAAGTATCGGTAATTTATTACTGTCTACTATGTGTCTATGAACCAGCAAGTAGTTGATTGTGGCCCACATTGACTGTACCCATCCAGAATGATCCAGATGCTGTAGTCACCCTTGGACACATAGATAAAGTGTCCACCAGGAGACTCCCAACTCCTGGCCTATCCGGTGCTCATGTCACAGCTTAGTTACTGGAAATATTTTCTCAGAATAATTTTTATGGTTGAGGTGCACACCCAGCAGCTTTACTTGCTGCCAAGGCCATTTTGAGGGAAACAGTGATGAATCACACCTGCAGACTGGATCCTGCCCCCACTGAAGGAAGTGCTGATCAGCTGTCCTGGTCTATGTGACTCAGCAGTTAGAGCATCAGCCTGCACACTGAAGGGTCTCAGGTTTGATTTCTGGTCAAGGGCATGTACCTGGATTGTAGGTTTGGTCCTCAGCCCTGGTCAGGGCACTTGCAGAAGGCAACTAATTGATGTGTCTCTCTCACATCTCTCTGTCTCTCTCCCCCCTCTCTCCTCCCTTCCACTCTCTCAAAAAATTAATGGAAAAAAATATCTTCAGGTGAGGATTAACAACAACAAAAATTTGATCATCCAATGAGAGATTATTTCCAGTTCAAGACCCAGGAAAGAGGATGGGGGATAGATGGCACAGGCAGAGGTATAAGGGGCCTAAACACAAGACATGCACAGATTAGTTACTTGAGTATGGATAGCACTCAAAGCCTTGAAAGCCAGAAATACCAGTAACCGCCTTGTGGGAGGATATCACAGTGAACCTGAAGGAAGAGATAGGTGCCAGTGAGACTGGGAAAGGTATAGTAAATTGAGGGTAAACCTATCCTGAAGACTGATTATAATCAAAAGCGTTTCTATCATTTCTTTGGTTTGAATTCATAGTATCTCTTTTCCTTAATCGATGGTTGAGGAGAGAAGTGTCTAGAGCATATTTTCACCAGAGAAGCACTGACTTTTAAGCCAGTACAGAGATAGACCACTGAGCTGGTGTAGGAACCTCGGCTGCAGCTCTGCCTTATGTGGCTTTCAGCAAGTCACTTAGTATTTCTACAGCTTAATGGCTGTAGGCACAAAAGTAGGGACAGTACTGTTGAGGTAGGAAATCAAAGTTTATTTATAAACACGTTTTCTCTAGATGCAAGTTGTGCGTGAAACTTTTTCATTCAAAAGTGAAATGACTTTAGAATTGGCGCCACCATGTAAACACCAGTACATTAATCCATCTCAGAGATCTTTATTGACCACTTAGAAAACTCTTGCTTTTACATTGAGGAACTAGTTTCAGTTCATAGCTGTGGTGCTGTTCTATTTATTTTAAATATGGTATTATCTTCTATTTCCCCCAGGGAGTATATTACCAAATTGGAGATGTTGTTTCTGTGATTGATGAACAAGATGGAAAACTCTACTATGCTCAGATCAGGGGTTTTATCCAGGACCAGTACTGTGAGAAGAGCGCAGCACTGACATGGCTCATTCCCACTCTTTCTAGCCCCAGGGACCAGTTCGATCCCGCATCCTACATCATAGGTGAGTTTGACAAATGCACAGGTTCTTGAACCCAGTTAAGTCTTTGCTATTAGGTATAAGAATACATTAGTGTGCTTGGACTGCCATAACAAAAGACCACAGACTGAATAGCTCAAACAACAGACATTTATTTTCTCACTGTTCGGGAGGCTGGAAGTCCAAGATCAAGGTGCTCTCAGGGTTGGTTTCTGGTGCAGCTTTCTTCCTGGCATGTGGACCACCACTTTCTTGGAGTGCACACTCCTTTGGTCTCTTCTTATAAGAACACCAGTCCTAGTGGATTAGAATCTCACCCTTATGACCTCATTTAATCTTAGTTACCTCCCTGAAGCTCTTGTTTCCAAAACCCATCACATTGAGGGTTAGGGCTTCAACATATGAATTTGGGAAGGATACAGTTTAGTCCATAGCAAGCATAAGTATCATTAACTACAATAAAGTAGAGAGTTTTACAGAAAACATGAAAGACATTTTATTTTATTTTATTTTTTTATTTTTTATTTTTTTTATCCTCACCCGAGGACATTTTTCCATTTTTTGTTCAGGTAGAGTGGGAGGGAGAGAGAGGAACAGAGAGAGAGAGAAACATTGACGTGAAAGGGACACATCGAGTGATTGCCACCCGCACAACCGACCAGGGCCGGGGACAAACTGCAACCGAGGTACGTGCCCTTAGCGGGAACCGAACCCGGGTCTCTCAGGACCGCAGGCCGACGCTCTAACCGCTGAGCCAAACCGGCCAGGGCCATGAAAGACATTTTATACAGCTGGAGTTTGAGTGCTGTCAGTTGTTTAGAGTTAGGGCAGTATGCACCTGCTAAAAAATGATGTGGATAAGATATTTTTAAGTGACCCAGGATTAAACTATTACAAGAATGTATTGGCTCTGGCCAGTTTGGCTCAGCAGTTAGAGCGTTGGCCTGCAGTCCAGAGAGACCGGGTTCGGTTCCCGCTAAGGGCATGTACCTTGGTTGCAGTTTGTCCCCAGCCCTGGTTGGTCGTGCAGGTGGCAGCCACTTGATGTGTCCCTTTCACATCGATGTTTCTCTCTTTCTCTCTTCCTCTCTCTCCCTCCCACTCTATCTGAACAAAAAAATAGAAAAAATATCCTTGGGTAAGGATAAAAAAAAAAGAAAAGAAAAGAAAAGAAAAAAATAAAATAAAAATAAAAATTTATTGGCCTGGCCAGTGTGGCTCAGTGGTTGAGCGTCAACCTATGCACCAGGAGGTCGCCAGTTCAATTTCCAGTCAGGGCACATGCCCACGTTGTGGGCCAGATCCCCAGTGGGAGGCATGCAGGAGGCAGCCAGTTGATGTTCTTGCTCATGGATGTTTCTGTCTCTCTCTCCCTCTCCCTTCCTTTCTCTAAAAAATCAATAAAGAAAAATAAAAGAAAAGAAAAGAACTTATTGCTCAGGAACTAGGTTATTTAGGTTACTTATAAAAATCTACTCAAAAATAATTTCCGAAGGAACTATCACAGTTATTTCTAGAATCTTACATTTTCTCAGTATGTACCCTTCTACATTTCACATGTATCATTCCAGACTTTTTGTAATATATCATTGTTGATCATTGAAATGGCAGCCACTGTACTCAATAATTTCAGTGCTGCCAAAAGAAATAGTACAAACCGTTCTTTATGTAGACTCACAAGAAGTTACTGATTAATTCAATTTTGAAAGTGTTCAGAGTTTTTAAATTACTCTGAACCTTTTAATTTTTCTGCAGTGAGCATGCATTAATTTTGCATTCTGAGAAAAAGACATATAACATTTTTTTTTCAGCGAGAATTCAGGGACAAATAACATTCCACTGTTAATTCTCTCCTGCATGTCAAAATTGATATATGACCAGTTTTAGTAAGTACATAAAAGGGTGGACTTTCATGCACCTGAACAATTGGATGGGATTCTCAGCAGAGGCAGTGATGTGACAGAATCACCTCTGGGCTCCTCTCCTGACTCCTTTTCCTAATCTTTAGACCCCAAAGCACAAACTCTGGAGCCGGACTGTCTGGGTTCGTAGCCTATACACTTACTAGCTGTGTGATATTGGGCCAGTTCCTTGATCTTTCTTGCTTCATTTTCCCCATATGTAAAATGGGAATAATAATAGTGCTTATCACAGAGGGCTTTTGTGAGGATTCAAAGTATTGATAAATGTACAGTACTAAGAACAGTACAGGCATATAATAAACACTATATAAGGCTAAATATTTTAAGATTTCTTCCTATATTGAGGTACTGTTTTGGGGAGAATGCTATATTCCTTAAGCAGTTAAAGGAGAAACTAATGATGAGTAACTTTAGAGTAATACATGTTCCAAGGGCTAATGTCAGGTCACCACCAGATTGGTTTCTCCTAGAGTCTGGGTATTTTAACATTTTATGATAAAGATCCTTATGTTCAAAAATGTGTTTAACCTTTCCATTGGCTGCCTTTAGGACCGGAGGAGGATCTTCCAAGGAAGATGGAATACTTGGAATTTGTTTGTCATGCACCCTCTGAATATTTCAAGTCACGTTCATCACCATTTCCCACAGTTCCCACCAGACCAGAGAAGGGCTATATATGGACTCATGTTGGACCTACTCCTGCAATAACTATTAAGGAAACAGTTGCCAACCATTTGTAGTTTGAAAAGTGAAACTGGATTTCCAGTTGTCTATTCACATTACTACAAGATATACCACATGTTTATTTAATGAAATTCTTAGATGGAAAATGACTAAAAAGTTTTTCCCTATTACCCAGTAATCATTAGCTTATTTATTACAAGTCACTTGGAAAACTAAAAAGGATAGAAAAGAATTAAATATATTTTGAAGTTAAATATTACGTATGTATATCTTCCCAAGGAGACCATTAGGAACATAGTGTCTATTTTTATCCATAATTTATTTCTAGAAACTCATAAAATGGACTGTATTTTTCTATAAGAACAAGATATGAATTAAGGTTTATAATTCTGATCAAGGACTGAACCCAATAAAATGTAGCTATGACCAACAGTGTCTGGCACAAAGCTACCTTAGTTTTATTTTCTCATCTAGAAAATGGCTGTGGCAGACTGTTGGCTGCTTTAACCTGAAGGAAAGTGATCTGTGGATAATTTTATTAGCCCAGGCCTTTTAAAACTTTCATCTAATTCTTCTGTAGCAAATAGGGATTCAGAGTCATTTTGTTGATCATAATATCACTGACCTCACCTACCTTGTCAGTCAAAATGAGGCCTTCAATCAAACTATAAAATTTTATAGTGCAGACAGTTAATTTCACTAAAAGCACACAGGAAAGTTGGACGGTTCCGGCACCCCACTTCATTGCTTCTTGACTACTATTAGCACAACCATTGGACAGTCATAAAAATGATTAATAGGTCAACTATAATTGAAAAATAAATTTAAAAAATTTGGTAATGAAAAATAAAGGCTTATTGGTTGTTAGTGTTGATATCTAAAAAAAGTCTACCCCAAAGGTAAACCACCTGCTATCAACTCATAATAATAGGCTTAAAACAATGCCCTGGACTTAGCAGGCCTGTTGAATATGAAATTTTCCAGAATTCAGGTACAGGTTTACTTCCAGTGAAGTCAGCTAAGTCAGGGAGCAGCAGTGTGACAACAGGGGGAAGTGGAGACTGTAAACACTTGTCTCCTCTTCTGATGGAACCAGCAATTTCTAACCCAGGAGAATTTGTCAGGATCTAATTTAATCATAATGATTTTGAGCTGTAGCATCTTTAACTATGTGTTACCCTTTTCTACAGGTTACTGTATGTGTATTAGAAAGAAGCAACCAGAGATAGTTCTATGTCTATAGTGAGCTCTCTGTATGTAGTTATCATTCTGTTCACAAAAATTATAGTAAAATTGATTGTAAATACCATTGTAAATAACTAAATGCTAATCAATGTATTTTAAATGTGTTAATGTATTTTTAAAAATACATATTAATACAATGTAATTTAATACAATGTAGTTCTCACAATGTATTTTTCACAGTGTATTAAAATGTATTTTTTACAATGTAGTTACTTCGAATTTATTTATTTATTTCATTTAAACAATAAAAGAGGACCTTCTATCCAAAAATGGTGTAAATAGAAAACAGCAGTGTTGTAGTATTCATAAGTTGGAGTGACAGGTTCATCATCAATACGTAACAGATTTTAGGAAAATCAAAGAATGTCTGTCTGATAAAATGAACACTTAATGTAAGATATTTATTAAAATGAGGAAATATTTTAAAACCAGAGTATATACTTACCATTTGTTTATAAATTGATAACCTATTTATGTAGAATCTTTTAAAATAAATTGAATTTTCACTTTCTTCAACAAACACCAAAGACTTCCACTGTTTATAGGGATGATTCATACCTTTTTTGCTATTATCAAAGGTCTGCCCCGTCTATGTTTTCAGCCTTGTCTCCTCCTTACCACAACTGAAATGTTTCCCCACTGACACTCTCCTAATTTTCCTGGCTCTGAGTTCTTGTTCAAACTGTGTTCTCCAATTCCACCAAAGGCTTTTCTTTCTTTCTCCACTCCCACCCCCACCCCTGCAAATCAATACATGGTTTTTATTGCATCTTATTAAAATATCACAAATAAGTCTGAGGAATCATCAAGCATCTTTCTGTAGCTGGACAACTTATGTCTTATTTATCAGCCTGCTGAACTGTTCCTTTTTCAGAAACATAGACACCATGCAATATGTTCTGATATTCTTGTTTTTAACTCTTGCAGCCTGCTTAAGGCCCTCAATTTCTATCTCTACGTGGGACCTTTCCAGATTCCCATGGCTCCTTGAAATCAATCTCTATTTTATTCTTTTGCATTTCCATTTCTACTTCTGTTGGCCCCACCCCAGTGTCTGTGTTCCCTGGAGGACAGAGATGGTGTCCTCCATCTCCAGCTTTGTAACTCCCACAGACCCGACCCCAGGTCCTGGCTTATGGGAGGAGCTTAGTGTAGAGTTCAAGTTAGATGTTCCTATGAAGATGCCTGTTGATATTTTACTTAATACTAGTTCATACTAACTTTGGCTTAAACTACAAATTCTCTTGTTCTAAGATTAACAGGGTGTTTGTTTTTTATCCTCACTAGATATTTTTCCATTTTTTGTACAGATAGAGCGGGAGGGAGAGAGAGGAAGGGAGAGAGAGAGAGAAACATCGACGTGAAGGGACACATCGAGTGGCTGCCACCCGCACAACCAACCAGGGCCGGGGACAAACTGCAACCGAAGCACGTGCCCTTAGCAGGAACCGAACCCGGGTCTCTCCGGACCACAGGTCAGCGCTCTAACCGCTGAGCCAAACTGGCCAGGGCTTAACAGGGTGTTTTTAAGATGATCTTTAACTAGTTCTCTTACACAAATAAAAATACAAGTGGCTGAAAAAATTACCCTAAACCATTCGGGTTCTTGGCCGTGAAAAGCTTTCCAGGACTAAGTTTTCCATAGAGAAGTTTGAATCCCAATTGCATTTCAACCTTAAGTAAGTGAAATCATAAGGACACGAATGAAAAAAATATAGAATTATTTTACGTGTGTGTGTGTGTGTATGTGTATATGTAACTACATAGATACATTACACAGACTCAGAATGATGTTCTGTTCTGGACCAGAAAAGGGAGGGGCATTTTGTGGATTTTTTTTTTTGCTACCCTGGATATGTTTTAGGTGGTTTTTAGTGTTGTTTTTTATTTTATTTGCTTCTTTTTTTTTTTTTTTTTATCCTCACCCGAGGACATTTTTTTTGTTTTTTGTTCAGATAGAGTGGGAGGGGAGGAGACAGAGAGAGAGAGAGAAACATCAATGTGAAAGGGACACATCAAGTGGCTGCCACCCGCATGACCCAACCAGGGCCGGGGCCAAATTGCAACCGGGGTACATGCCCTTAGAGGGAACCGAACCCAGGCCGACGCTCTAACTGCTGAGTCAAACTGGCCAGGGCTATTTTGTTTCTTTTGAGAGAGGGAGAGAGAGAGAGAGAGAGAGAGAGAGAGAGAGAGAGAGAGAGAGAGAGGAACATCGATGAGAGAGAACATCAATTGGCTCCCTCCTGCATGCCCCCCACTGGGGATCCAGCCCACAACCTGGGCATGTGCCTTGAGTGGGAATCGAACAGGCAACCTCTTCGTGCATGGGTTGATGCTCAACCACTGAGCCACACTGGCCGGACAGGAACTGTATTTTTTACTTCATACCAAATATATGCACCACACCTTTTGTAAGGGTGTGTATCTCCTACACCCAAAAATATAAGCCAGAAGGTCAGCTTCTTTTGTAAGAGGGTGTATCTCCTACACCCAAAATTATAAGCCAGAAGGTCAGCTTCTTTTGTAAGAGGGTGTATCTCCTACACCCCAAAAATATAAGCCAGAAGGTCAGCTCCAGAGAGAAACAAGAAGTAACCTGAATGACAAACAAGAGGATAATGCCCAAGTTATAGTGCATTTGTGTGCATTTTTCTTTACACTTTTTAGTATTCCAACTTTTCTACAATGAGCATACATACACAGACACACATTTGTTTGCAGACTGCCCAACTGGCAAGGGACCATCAACTTTTAGTCCATAAGTATATAGAACATTTAATAAATAGTAGTTCTTAAAACCATGCAAGAGAGATAAATGGCATGCCGAAGAAGTACATTCAGGGATTTAGTTAATTTCATATATTCACTTAGTGATTCTGGGAAAGGACTCAGATGTGACCTTTTTCGGCTTCATCAGATCCTGGGCCAGGCACACATTTAACTGTGATGAAGGGCATCTGCATCACCCAAGCTGGCGACTTTGGCAAGCGTGAGAGACCGATGCAGATTCAAGTTTGTCCTTACTCTCCTCCACTTCAAGCCTATCTTCCCTTCCAGACTGCCTGCCCTGCTGACTTTTGGCCCCAGCCCCAAGTGCAGAAGCAAAAGCCTTACACAGACCCAACAGGCTCCCACAATTGTGTCAAGTAAAATTTCTATTACAGCTTCTTTATTGTCTGTCATTCCTAGTGTTCTGTTTCTCTGATCAAGTCCTGATGCTGAGGCCCTGCCGTTTTTTCATTATAAACTGTGTAGAGCCCTGGCTGGTTTGGTTCAGCGGTTAGAGCATGGGACCGCGGACCAGAGAGTCCCGGTTTCGGTTGCAGTTTGTCCCGGGCCCCGGCTGGGGTCGTGTGGATGGCAACTACTTGATGTGTCTCTCTCACGTTGATGTTTCTCTCTTTCTCTTCCCTCTCTCCCTCCTGCTCTATCTGAAGATAAATGCAAAAATGTCCTCGAGTGAGGGTTAAAAAAACAAAAAACAAAATATGATGTATATGTATTACTTTGATAAATTTTTTAAAATATGTTTGTGGGTTTTGTTTTTTTGTTTGTTTTATCCTCCCCGAGGACATTTTTGCATTTATCTTCAGATAGAGGGGGAGGGAGAGAGGGAGGAAGAGAGAAAGAGAGAGAGAGAAACATCAATGTGAGAGAGACATTGAGTGGTTGTCACCCACATGGCCCCAACCGGGGCCGGGGGACAAACTGCAACCGAGGTACGCGCCCTTAGCGGGAACTGAACCTGGGTCTCTCTGGTCCACAGGCCAACACTCTAACCGCTGAGCCAAACCAGCCAGGGCTGTTTGTTTGTTTGTTTTATATTTTAGAGAGAAAGGGTGAGAGAGAGAGAGAAACATTGATATGAGAGAGATATTACATCAATCAACTGCCTCCTGCACGCCTCCTGGTGATGGAGTCAGCAACCTGGGCTCATGCCCTGACCCGGAATTGAACTGGGACCTCTCAGTCCCTGGGATGATGCTCAATCCACTGAGCCATGCTTGCCTGGCACTTTCATAATTTTTTTAAAATGGAAAGTAATGAAGAAGATGATGTGGGGAAAGAAAAACAGATTGGATTATAAAAATAATTTCTATATGTCAGAAAATGTGTATACAAAGTTAAAAACCAAACAACTCTCTTTTTCTTCTCTTTTTCTTTTTTCTGTTAAAGCGTTGGGAATCATTAACTCGTGTTTCTTATGCAACATGACAGACTGGCATATAGTTACTCAACTACAAGCAGAAAAACTGCAATCATAGCCTCAACCTCTTATAACATCATTATTTCAAACTACTCTAACTTCTATGTTAGAAGCTGGGTAGAAGGGAGAGGTTTATAACAAAAACACCTATGTACTTTAACTACTTTTATCCGTGGATTGGGAAGGTGTGAAGAATAAAGAGTAAAGGTGCTGCTGGGGAAAACAAAACAAAACACCGAATCTCTCAGCCCAGAAATCCTCCCCACAAAGACAGTCAAGAAAGAAAACACTCTTATTATCGACTGAGCATTAAACCAGAGTGGGATGTTCATCACAGGCAGTTGGCCAAGAGGCTGATTGCAGACAGAAAGAACTCTCAACCCATTATATAGCCAAGCAGATGTGACCCATTACATACCTGTTCTCAAGATAAACATGAACTAGTTGTTAACTAAGAGACAGCACCATTAGTCACACACAGTTCTTTCTAACTTGACCAGTTCTTTATGACGGGCGTTACTTTTCCAACCCGGAGCTAACCTCCTACCTCTCATAGAAAATGGGGGAGAGATGTTGACATTGCAGAGATGGATCCCAGGTTTTTGAGAAAGACATTAAAGCTGACAGAAGCTGATTTCATTTCTAAAAAGATACATCTCGAAGGGACTAAAAAAATACTTGCATTTACAATTTTCTATGGTAAATAATCTGAGAAAAAGGGAGAAAAATGTCTCCCCTTATTTATAACAAGGGGAACTACGCCTCTTACTTGAAAGACCGATTTGCCCTTTCGGTACACACCCTAGACCGGGAAGAGGACGCACCGCTCTGGGACTCGGCCCTCACCTCAGGCTCCCACCAGCGCC